AAGCTGCAATAATGCATACATAAGCATAATTGTATAGTGTTGTATAACTCTGTAATTTTCTAATCCAATTCTATCGTACAGAGATAGGGTGCAAGTTTGCTTGGCAAAATCTAGTATGCCTAAGTGCAAGATAGGTGTCAGTTGTTCCTCATTGTCTAAAGCTTTTGCAATAACGTTTTGGATGAAAAGCAGCTACGCTGAATGATGCATGTGAATGTGTTTGAGACAAAACACCCCTTTGAGGATGGATGCATCTTTAAAAAAAAAAAGGATTTTTCTATGTGTGTTTGAATTCAGTAGAGTCCAACAAATTGTTCCTTTTCAAAATAAAAATAAGGTAAGTGCATCAAATTATTTAAAAATTCGAAAGGTCGCTTTCATTAAAAGCCTTTATTAACTAGACACTTCTTTCATCACTACAGCCGTTAACTGCGGGTCTACCATGAAATGAAATTACGAAATTTCGGATTCAATTTCGTGTTTTTGTTTATACCAAAATCGGACCAATAAGTTTAACATTTCGTTCGTCGTACATCCTATCATAAAAGTCCAAAGGAACAATATTTTTACATTTTTAATATTTCCAAACGGCATGTATTATGTAATTTTTACATCAAATTTGTGTTTCGTTTGGCCCCGAAATTTCGGAAAACATTTCATGGTAGGCCCTCTGTTCATTGCTGAACGTAAGCCTCCCCCGTAGAGTTTCACCAGTAGTTGCCATTCTTGGCAGACGGTTTGGTAAACGCAGTTGGGCTTTGGTAATGTTTTAAGAGGGATACTACTGCCCATTTATCGACCATTAAGTTCCCTTAGTCACCTTTTATGACACCCACGGGAAAGGAGGGAGTGGCTCTATCTATGCATATAAAGAGGTTGCTGTGTGGTTCTAACATGGCAACCTGGGGGAAGGGATTGTTAGTAATGCAAACTACGAGTCCCATTACTAGCAATATACCTTGTCTACGCGGTCCCCCCTGGAAACCAGTTGTGTTTGCATGGCTGTGTTTCAGTTTAAAGGGTGGGATATGGCGTGAATTTACAGGGTACCGAGGAATAACACCTGAATCCTCAAGAATGGCAACGCATGGGGGGTATCATGAGCAAAACAGTCTCTGTTATATCCATGGTACTGCTCATATCTATAGGCGACGGTTACACTTTCCATCAGGTGGACCGTCAGCTTGTTTGCCATTCTAAGTTGTATAAAAAAAAAACAAATAATAACTCACTTCTTTTACATTACTTATATAAGATATTAATATTTTTCTCAATTTCAGATCAACATTGCTGTTTGTTAACGGAATTTTCCCAAAGAGCTAATAATGTTTACTGTTTACTCTGTGGAACCTTCTAGACTGAGGGGTTATATTATTCAAATAAAACATTGACTTGTGCCGTCTCTGATGAGGTTTCTTTAATTACTATTAAGTGATGGAAAACTGATTTTGTTGTACATATACAGAGCGGCTAATACATGGATGATGGGAGGGAAAGGGATTGTTAGTAATGGAGACTGAGAATTCTATTGCTAGCAATATACTCAACCAGGTCGACCTCCTCGCGGGTCCCCTTGGAATCTATCATTGTTAATTCCTAATGAATTCATCATGATGGGCTAACTGGCCTGTTTTCATTCTCATCTATCACCCTTCACTGGTGCTCCGCCATCGTATCCCGTTAGCGCAGGCGGGGTTACCATACCATTTTCACCCATAAAAAAAAATACATGGATGATGGTTGTTTACTTGTAAGTATGTACCTACTATCTGTAAATGTTCACCCTTAATCTCTTGCTAAGTAGATAGAGAGTGGTAGCGAGTGTCAATAGCCAGTGTTTATACGTATCTATATCAATATCTAATTCTATTTGAATTTTTTTTTTATACAACTTAGAATGGCAAACAAGCTGACGGCCCACCTGATGTAAAGTGGTAACCGTCGCCTATAGACATAAGCAGTATGATGGACATAACAGAGTATACTGTTTCGCCCATGATACCCCCCATGCGTTGCCATTCCTGAGGACTCAGGTGTTATTCCTCTGTACCCGGTAAATTCACGCCATATCCCACCCACCCTTCAAACCGAAACACAGCCATGCAAACACAGCTGCTTCACGGTTGAAACACGAATGGGACAGAGGTACCCAAGCAATCGACTTTTGTATAAAGTCTCCCTCTGGTGACTCATTGTATAGGCGACAGTTACCACTTTCCATAAGGTGAGCCGTCAGCTCGTTTGCCATTCTAAGTTGTATAAAAAAAAATATTTTCACCCATCAAAAAAAAAATGGCAACTCTCTAAATATCCAGAGCGAATCAACAAAAACAACCTCGACATCAGGTAATTGAGATTGAGAGAACTGATTGAAGAAAAATGTTTTACTTGCAATATGGGTAGGTGCTTGCCTATTATGTAGAAACAAGGCTTCACAGTAATAAGTTAATTAATACCAACTGTTCGTAACCTCTGATCTTTGTCACGTCGAGATTAGAAATTTCGAGAACATTCCATTCGAAAATTGAATTTTGCCAATTACAATTTATAAGCAATGTGATTCAATAAATTAATTCCGTTTATATTTTATGAATAAATTTTAATATAAATTGTTTTCGAGAAACGTGATCATTAATTAATTATTTCTATATAAGGTTTCTAATCGGTATATTATATTAAATATTACATATAATTATAGCCTTTATATAGCTTTATCAAGCTATGATCAAATAGACATGTGTCAATAAAAGTTTATATATATATATATATATATATATATATATATATAAATATACACTCTGTTATGTACATGGTACTGCTCATGTCTAGACGGTTACCACTTTCCATCAGGTGGACCGTCAGCTTGTTCGCCATTCTAAATTGCATAAAAATAATTTAAAGTCGATTTATTTGTAGGACACAATCTTTAATTATTTTGAAAAAAGAGGTAGTTCTAGAATTACGTATAGCGTATAGCCATATCTGATCTGAAGGAACGAACGAAACTAAAACTGAAAGTTAAAAGCTGTCTAGACTTATTTACATAAGAGACTTCAACAGTACCTACTTTTCGAACTACCTACAATGTAATAGCACTAAAAAATACTGTCGCCCACCGAACACCCTTTCGGTAAACATCCAAATCAATTACAATCAAGACGCCTCCATCAATCCAACCATGAGATCCCCAAACGTCGTGTCATCCACGCCATATTATTTCCACTCATTCCCCGATCCGCAGCCTTGCCAGATTCGATAAATTTACCGCAATTTTGGGTAAAATTTCGTCTGCTAGAGAATTTGTTGGGGAAATGCTATACCTATTTTATTTTTAAAAATTTTAAAAGGACACATTATATTTTAATGTAATAACTACCGATTTTAACTTATGTGTAATTTAGTCGAGAAATCACGACTAGTTTCGGGTCCATTCGGGGCCCTTAATCTTGAGCAGCTGTGACGCAAGTCCGAGCGTGCCGTGAAAGCCTACTGCTAAACCGGTATTTATTACATTAAAATATAATACTATGCCTAGTTGATGAAAAGTTTGTAAAAAAAATGCAATGAGTGTTGATAATTTTAGATAATTATTTCGACAGTTTAAGGCATTTGTAAACAGTATATAAAACATATACCTAATAAAGGTACATTTAATCATAAAATAAAATAAAATTCTGTGTAGATAGCGTACTACTATATAGATACTTTTTTCTTCGCTACTTTATAAAATGTAGTGAAAAATGGACAAAATTTTTGATTAAATAAATAGAAACAATAATAATAGTAAGTACTATACTGTTTCCACTTCTTATTGTACGCACACTGCTGGTAATTAATGCTCATTTCCACTCAAGGTTTGCTAGAAGAGAAATCTTACAGAGTTAAGCTCGCCTGTTGTATGTATATATAAATAAATAAAGATCATAGTATCGTTTTGGAGAAAAAATAAAATCTGAGAAATATAAACTAATGTTATGTTGTTAAAGAAAAAAAAAAGTATTTGAATTTGGAAGAACTAGAGAAATAAAAACTTACATCTTGCAACACTGCTGACTCGCGACCTCCGGCGTCTGTCGGGAAATGATCGTTTTCTTTTCCCCGATCACGTTACGCACTGGAAAATATTTTGTTCTCCATTTGAATGATAAATAGCAGTTGCGTATCATTGCACGGTCATTAATGATGAGACGCCGGGCTCAAGACAGCTCGCCATATACAGGCTGAATCGAAATCTTTAACGCCCTTTTAAGGGAGTATTCTATCAGTGAAATTGGAAATATGGGTCACAGCTATGTCCTGGTATAGAATGGTCCACCCATTCCTAACCCGTGGGTGTCTACGACTAAAAGGAACTTAATGGTTGAGAGATAGGAAGCGGTGTATCTCTTAAAACATCAGCAAAGTCTAACTGCGGTTGCTAATCCGTCTGCCAAGCATTGCAAATACTAACAAAATCTATCAATATGGGAAGACCTATGTTCATCAGTAAAGTTCGCTGATATGATGATAATAATGACGAAACATGGGTCAAGAAAAGACCAAAAAGTCTGAACCTCCCATGCTTATATGACGGGTCCAATCTACAATTTTTTTTATCACTTTTAAATGTTTCTTTCTTTCAATTTCCATCCTAATGTATTCTATTTTATAGCATGAGTAGATTCCTAACTTTACGTACGACTACCGAGTTCGATTTCGCCCCGTACCTGTCCATAATATAAGTAATTGATTTTTGAGTTTGTTTCAAACTATTTCTTTATTTAGGACATTTGTTTAAGAAACCATTTTGATACAATCTTAATATAATTGTACAGGACAAACATGAAAGTAAAGGAATTTAAAAAATAGATCTAATGAGATCCTTTTATTAAAAATCGATTGAAAATTAAATATTGCAATAGTTCCGATTTGTAGAAAAAAATATAATATTATTTCAAAACCTATATCCTAAACATGATACTACACCACTTAAGATTGGGATATAAAAATATGATCAAATATAAAAATTAACGAATTTATTCCAAAAATTTAATGACATTGACGAACTACAAATTCATAATCATAACAAAATCATAATTATTAGAACGTTGCGTAAACTTTAAACAATGACAGTATCTTTTACACTATAGTTTTGCAACAGTTCCTTTTATTATTTGTCTAATAGCTAGTATTCTCACTTTGGTATCCCATACCTGCTGTTACATCACATACCTTTAACAACTGTGAAACAATAAACAATATAACATTTACTGAACACCAAATGGATAATGGTAAGATATCCTAGTGACGTCGTTAGGCACGTAATGCAGGTCCTGGTAAGCCTTCACCATCATCTGTTGGTTGACCACTGCAAAAGGTCTTGGAGATATGCTCTCAATAGATGGTAAAGGTCTCAAATCGAGACTAGGAATGGCCTCTTCCTTAGGCCTCATCGGTGTAGGGACAAAAGTTGCTTGCGGCATCGGAGGTACACTGTAACTGATCATATTATTATACATAAACTGCTCCGAATAAGTTAAAGGAATCTGATAGTTCGGCTCTGTTCGTGGTTCCATCTCCACGAAGGTTTCTCTTGTTGTATAAATTGCGGGGTTCGTAAAAGTCGGATCCAGTCTATTCTTTCTCCGGGGACGGTATTTATAATCCGGATAATCTTGCATATGTTTTAACCTTAGTCTCTTTGCTTCATCTATAAATGGCCTCTTCTCGGTCTCATCTAAACTCTTCCATTCCAGTCCTAATCGTTTGGAGATCTCTGAATTGTGCAGCTTTGGGTTCATCATTGATATTTTCTTTCTTTGAAGCCTCGACCATACCATGAAGGCGTTCATGGGTCGCTTTATGTGATAAGGATTAGAATGTCTAGACACTTTTGGGGTAGCTTTCGCTGGCGATGTTTCCACAAAAGCCATTGATTTTTTTACATCTTACTGTATCTTTTTTAAGTCGTGAAATGATTTTCTAGACACGTTATTCCATAATATCCTGTAGATTAGTTCTTCTTATAACGAAATAATTTCCGGGTTTTTAGTTTCTTATTTTTCGCAACTGTTCCGCTTTGCTTCTAGTTCAGCGCCTGATCGACGTCCAGACTCGCACTGATGACCAGTTTCGAAGCCAACTAAATCTGAATGCTGTCATTATGGCAACAATAGAGCGGGTACAATTGGTATGACAATTTTCCCTGTATTATTTGCCGTCGAATAAAGAGCAGCGACAATGTACTGATTGCTCACAAATTGTCAGATGATACTGGTGTATGTTTTGTGTAAGCCGCGCCTGCGGTCTATTAAAAGGTGAACGGTACAGTCGGCTGATGAATTTGTGTACAGTCAACCTAAACATTAAATGTATTTAAAGTTGAAGAAATCGCACGATCCAAAGTGTTTCTTAACATTTACCCGATTGAATATCGAATCCTTACCAAGCTCATCCACAGCTAACCCCTTTTTTTATGAATGAAAATGGAATGGTAGCTTTTATATACGATGATGGTCTGTCAAGAGTGATGAGAAGTGAAGAAAAAATCAGGCCATTTGATGCACTGTGACAAATTTTCCAGAAATTGATCGCAAGGCTCTGGTTTCCAAAAATATGTAATTGACATATGTATATTGCCAGCGATAGGGTCCTTACTTCCCTTAAATAATCTCTTAACCTCAGATAAAATATCACAGGATTTAAATATTAACTAATGCTTTTACTATAATTTCCCGCGGTAACAAAGATGCTAAGGTTGTCCAGTCTAGGTATTTTTATTTTTCTATAAGGGTCTATTTTCCATTTTTCTAACAAGGCACAGATAATAAAAGCAAGGTTTATGGCTATGTATAGGTAGTCCATTTAAATATTATCTACTTGCATTGAAACAGGTTTATAGAATAGACTGAAGGAGTGGTACGGTCCTTGTATCAAATAACAGAATATATTCAACTGTACAGAGTAGGTAATGTGTATAGATACACCACAGATTGTTCTGTGGGCTTGGCTACGTCATCTAATACCATTGTTGGCATCACAATTCCCTTTAGAGGAACGTTTATTATTTATTAGAGAGAAATAAATGACCACTATTATATTGCACTAGTAGGTATACATGGTAACTGTATGGTATTGAAGCAGACGTTTATTGTGTTATTTCGGTCGTGCCTAATTAGAAGTTTTTTTTTTTTTTTTTTTTTTTTATCGCAGTGTTTAAATATAATAATAATATGATAGACATGTTTACATTTAATATTCACTTACATGTGTATATTGACACAAACACATGCATGCACCCACGCACGCAAGCACGCACGCACGCACGCATGCACACACATTCTCATCGTGACGAATTCAACAGTTATCAACCACGATATTTTCTAGGGGGAACCGCGTAGAGGTCGACCTGATATTAATAAAAAGGGGGCAATTAGATCCCGTTATTAATAATTTATTCATTCATTTCATTCATGTTCACTAATTTATAATTTTTCAAATTGATAAATTAGAATAAAAGGATAAGAGACTTCAATAGCTAAAATTGTTTATAAGCTCAGGTAGAGGGAAACCATTCCATTATCATCCATAAAAAAAAATAAGTTTATGACAGGTTTGACGTATTTATAAATAAGGGGAAAAATCTGTAATACTTGTATATAACAGAAACAATAATATTATGCAGCTACGAAATGTACTATTAATCCAATACAATAATGATATACTATATTTAGGAACCTTATTAGGTACTAATAAAATTATCTTCCCTCTGTGTATAATTATGTTAGTAGAAAAAAGTAGATAAAAATTACAATTTAAATAAATTAAAAACTTGAATGTAGGTTCACTGTTCCATCATTCATCATATAATCATAAAAATATGGTTAATTAAAACAAAATTCAGTTATTATAATAATGACAATGAAAATAAAGTAATGATTTCCTAAAAAAAATATTTTTTCTAATTAATATAATTAAGTTCAAACCGCGCCATCTATTTAGTTTTATATGTATTACAAGATTTGCTGTTCCATCATACTATTCCATTATCCTATGTTTGATGATAGCATTAAAAAAAATTAAAAAGCACGATTTTGATTGAATTCCAACAGATGGCGTTGAACGTAATAGCAACTTAAATCCTCTAGATGGCAGTAGCTATCTATTTCAATGTTAACGTCGCTCTAATAATTTTGGCGGCAAACGATTGAATATACAAGATATAATATAAACATATAGTACTTTCAACCGACTTAAAAAATAAGTGTGCTCTCAATTCAGATGCATTTTTTATGTTCGATACTTTTTTTATCTGTACTTGGAGATTGATCCCATAGAAATTATGAAAATTGGTTCTGTACGTTTTAAATTAAAATAACCGGTTTTAGCATAGTAAAATATTTATTCTATTCTATTAAAGTCAGATTTTTAATTATTTTTTTTTTAAATATTTATTGTTCCAAGATTTTATAATTAATAATTATTAAATTGGAAATCTTGTAAATATTATTTAATTATTAATTAATTACACCTTCTCCTAATCAAATCGCTGATAAGTTTTACACTGAAAAGTTTTAGAACTGGCTACTTGAAAGCAATATAATAAAAAAGATGTTAAAATTTTGAAAATGGAACTCTTTACGAATAATACTGAGTACATAATTTATTCGTTTGTCATTTGTTTTACGGTTTGGCGGCAAATTGAAAATAGTTTGTGTAACGTTATCATGAATTTAACGCGAAAAATTTTTCATACGATGATTTTTTATGACTTTCGATGTCATCTAAGTCATCAAGAAAAATATGATAGACTACGATTGACCTTTCACGATGGAGCCCCGTCTCGTGCCCCTGTTTACAACTGGTTTAATGAGTTTAAACGTGGTCCCACTAATCTCACCAATGATATGCGTGAGGGACGGCCTTCTACGGCGACGACTGAAGACAAGCCCATCATGATGAATTCGTCAGGAATTAACCATGATAGTTTCCAGGTGGAACTGTTAACTGTCCACTGCTGAACATAAGCCTCCCCCATAAGGAGGGTTTTGCCAGTACTTGCCACGCTTGGCAGGCGGGTTGGCAACCGCAGTTAGGGTTTGGTGATATTTTAGAAAGAACGTTGCTGCCCAATCCTAGATCGTTAAGTTCCCTTAGTCGCCTCCTACGACACCCACGGAAAAGGGTATGTATGTATATACATATATTTAAACTATGTATTTATATTTTTTTTTAATGGATGATAATGGAATAGTAACCCCACCCGCGCTATCGGTATACACTGGAGGGGCACCAGTGAAGGATGATAGGTGAGGATGAAGTAGGTCAGTTAGCCCATCGTGATTAATTCAACAAGAATTGTTCACGATGGTTTCCAGGGGGAGGTTGACCTAATAAGGTATATTGCTAGCAATGGGGCTGTCAAACTCCATTGCTAACAATCCTTTTCCCCCATGTATATTTACACCCAAATAAATAGATACGTACAATGTTCATGGACGTAAACCGGGCGCCGACACACGCCACTTTGTAAATCATCCCGGAGACATTGGAGGGAGTATTTAAGCCGCCATATTTATGAAAATAAGACTCCATAAAGCTATAATGGAAAATACAAAAAGCCCGTGCCGACCGTCGTAAGGCGGGCGGGGCGCGCGCGTTTACACCATACGACACGATTTCTGACACTTTTTTTTAGTGGCGAAAGGGATTGTTAGTAATGGGAATTATTAGCCCAATTGCTAGCAATTCAATACACTCTGTCAGGTCGACCTCCACGCGGTTCCCAATAGAAACCACCGTGCTCAGTTCCAAGTGAATTCATCACGATGGGATGGATGAATCAATAATCAATTCCTGATGAATTTGTCTAACTAGGACTAACTGAGCTGTCTTTTCATTGTCACCTCTCACTGGCGACGGAGAAGTTACAATTCGGTTATAATAAATACATCTAAAAAAAAATTTTATAAATATTTCCTGCGTTTATTTAATTCATACATACATATCTGTCACGTCTGTCTCCCATTAGGGTGGGCAGAAACAATGGACACTCAATGCTATATATAGTCTATATTTTTGTTTACGTTTATACGACTTTAACTTTGTATTTTTTTTTTAATTGGGCTGTCAGTTTGTTTGCCATTCTAAGGCAAACAAACTGACGGCCCACCTGATGGAAAGTGGTAACCGTCGCCTATAGACATCAGCAGTACCATGGACATAACAGAGTATACTGTTTCGCCCATGATACCCCCATGCGTTGCCATTCCTGAGGACTCGGGTGTTATTCCTCTGTACCCAGTAAATTCACACTATATCCCACCCCGCCAACATACACGTTAGCACAGACGGGGTTGCCATTCCATTTTCGGTATAAAAAAAAATGCTATACTTGCCCCAACACTAAGTGCCTGACAGGCTCAAATAGCATTTTGTGATCACAAAGTATACAAACGTTGGGGACATTATCCAAATGAACTATCGTGCATTGTAAAGAGCCTCTAAGTCTTAACTTATTGTTATTGCGCATTTTAAGCCTCAGTTTTATGTGTCGGAATCGTCGCTCGCACCGTAGCCTGCATCTCTTTATGTTTATATAGATTTATTGTTCGGATAGTTGCCAAGAAAATGGCTGCCACCTCTAAACGGATAGCTTAAATAGATATTTAAAAAATACAAAACAGAAAGACAACCCTTGATACAGAAATGTAGTCTAAATGGACAAGATATTGGATTATTGTTAAATATAATCGCTTGTCCATATTTCGAAAGAGCAAAATCTTTAATGGCTGTATTTTTGTATCAATGATTCCCTTTTTTTTATACAACTTAGAATGGCAAACAAGCTGACGGCCCATCTGATGGAAAGTGGTAACCGTCGCCTATAGACATGAGCAGTACCATGGACATAACAGAGTATACTGTTTCGCCCATGATACCCCCCATGCGTTGCCATTCTTGAGGACTCAGGTGTTATTCCTCTGTACCCAGTAAATTCACGCCATATCCCACCCTTCAAACCGAAACACAGCCATGCAAACACAACTGCTTCACGGTTGAAACACGAATGGGACAGAGGTACCCAAGCAATCGACTTTTGTACAAAATCTCCCTCTATTTTATTATGTGAAATAATTAATCA